AAATATGGGCCAGACTTATGATTATGAAATTTTGCATAGGTTTGAAATGATGATATTAAGTACATGCTTGTTTCGCTCCCAAACCAAATTGTACCCTCACTTCCTTAGAGGCATCAAGTATGACATACATTGCCAGAGTTCAAATAAGTGGTACACAGGGGTATCTTTCTAGCCCAAGGATGACTTTGGACATTCTAGTTTTGTCTAGGGAAGGATATGTTTATGATTGCACTCTAAGGGCTCCTGGTTGGCTCAGTTGGTTAAGCATCTGCCTTCAGCTCAGGTCATGATCCCAGGGTCATGGGATCGAGTCCCATGTCGGGCTCTCTGCTCAGTGGGGAATCTGTTTCTCCCTCTCACTCTCCCTCGTGCTCTCCCTCTCTCTCTCTTTCAAATAAATAAATAAAATAGTTTTAAAAAAATATAGAAGATCAAAGTGCATTTAAAAAAAATGATTGCACTCTAATTAGGGTTGATTCTGGTCCCACAAAAGAAAAATATCTCTACCCTAGCTTAAAGAAAAAGATACAAATAAAATCTTTATTTTTTTGACCGTTCAATTTTATTTTATTATGTTATGTTAATCACCATATATTACATCATTAGTTTTTGATGTAGTGTTCCATGATTCATTGTTTGCATATAAAACCCAGCGCTCCATTCAATATGGGCCCTCTTTAATACCATCACCAGGCTAACCCATCCCCCCCCCATCCCTCTAGAACCCTCAGTTTGTTTCTCAGAGTCCATCGTCTCTCATGGTTCTTCTCCCCCTCCGATTTTCCCCTCTTCAATAAAATCTTTATTTTTAACACAGAAGATAATCTTTTGTAAACATGGAGTATTGGTTGTTTCCTGAGCTATTGAGCCTCTCAAAAACAAAACGTCCTTATCTTGGTGAATTTAAAAAATCATATGCTGAAACAGACACTACTAAGAAAGCTATTCCCTCAGTCAACCAATGTCTATCTCTCCCCCGCCCCACCCCATATACACGGTGTGAAGTGTTGTACCTCATCTGTGGACTTCCATTATTCCTCAATCTAACATAACTAAAAGTATCTTTGAAAAATAACTACGCATAATTTTATATAAGGAAAACATATAATACAGATTTATTCATTTTATATATCTTATATATTCTACATATTTTACATGCATATCTCATTTGAGGTTGGTAACAACTCTGAAATATATATTATTATTCTCATTGTAAAGATGAGGACATAGTAGCCCTTGGAGTTTGACCTGTCCCAGGTTGCATGGCTGCCAGGGGTAAAGGCAAAAGAAATCCATGTTTTTGGAGTATCTGTCTACTTGGGCCAAACACCTCTTAACAAAAAGTCTTATCCTTGTCAAAAGCATACATACAACATAAACAATTCCAGATTACATATATAGAATGATCAACTCACCCTGGTTTGCTGGGGTTTTCCTGGTTTTAGCACTGAAAATCCTGCATACTAGGAAATCTCTCAGTTCCAGTAAAATTGGGATGGTTTGTCACTTTACATATAGAGCTCATCTCAGGAGACTGTAATAGATACCCATCCTGGGAACAGAGAGAGATACAGGAAACGAAATGCAAGTAGAGGAAACTGATCAAAAAAGTTTATTTAGAAAAGGGTGAAGATGATTTCTTACCCATTCCAAAGAAAACAATTTTAGCAACCACAATAACACAACAAAACAATTAGCATTGACTTAGACATGTGGTGTCCTTTCCCCCAAAAAAACATTTAAAGCAAATTTTGTGTCCTAAAAAAAAAAAAAAAAAAGTTTATGTAACCAAATATATCTGTAGATTTAAGATCCATGTCAGTCTGAAAGCTGGAAGTCCAATATCAAGACACTAACAAATTCAGTAGGTGAGGGCCTACTTCCCGGTTCACAGAGGGCCACCTTTTTGCTGTGTTCTCACGTGGTATAAGGGACAAAGGAGCTCTCTGGAGGTCTCGCTTGAAGGGCACTAATCCCATAAATGAGGGCACCACCCTCAGGACCTAATCAACTTCCAAAGGCCCCACTTACTAACGCCATCACATCGCAGATTTTGTTTCAATATATGGATTTTGGGGGGGGACACAAATATTCAACATTTAGCAAGTAGTATATACATATTTTTAAATATATTATATGTGAAAGACCAAAAAAATCATCTGCAAAACCATCCTCCTGAGAATATTACCTATGCTAGTCTCTTAGGGATGTCAGCAAGGAAAAAATAACAGGGACCGCTTGATTTTCAATGCCCAGATTTTTCATACACATGGATGTCTTACAGATCAACCATAAGATCTGAGTTTGAACACCTTACTCACCCCTGTATGGAGCCTGCTACCAGCATTTGCCATCCACAGAACTGTGCTAATAGAGATTATTTCTGGAGAATGGAGGACAGATTAACTGCTTGTTCATGATAAATCAAGGGTATTTGATTTGCCTGTTACATGCCCAGTTTTCTTTGGAAACAAGCCCTGGAAGCTATTTTTCTGATCAAATCCTAACTCTCGCGTTAGTACTTATGAAAGAGAAAAATAACATTTACTCATGATAAAGACTGAATTCTAACAATTATAAATCTTATCAATTACCTTGTGAAGGTTAGGGGGAAAAGAAAAGAAGAAAAAAATTTCCCATTGTGCTCACTCAACCTTGAGGTTGGACTAATGCAGACTGTTCTAGAATTCCCATGATTGCCACAGATGAAAACATAAGGGGAGATAAAGTTGGTAACCCAAGGAGATATCTGATTGATAAATGTTACACTATAAGGAATGGCTAGTAACAATTCAAAAAGAAAATGATTACAATTCACTAGCTAATATGAAATATTAGAAGGACCTAACATTTCCCTTTTTCCTCTGTTTTTCTTAGAAGCCAGCAAACTCAACAGGAATGATCTTAGCAGTATTTTCCATTTTGGTATTTAGAACTAATCGCTCTCACAGACACAAAATTTTTGATTTTTTTTTTCTTCAGTAAAGGGACTCAGTACCTAATATAACTTCCATATAATCTTTTGGTTAATGGCTTGAAAAGAGATAATTTTTTCCCCAAACCATTAAGATAGATATACAGTGAGCCAATATATAACAATTTTCCATAAATTAAAATATATACTTTTACATAAACAGTTCTTCAGTTTCAAAAAATATTTCTTGAGCATCAGTTACATGCTAGTGTTCACTCAGAGATACAACGTAAGTGGATAGCGTGGCTGAATGTGAACCAGATGGCCTACCGCCGACCCCGTCCTCTTGTCCTAGTTCACGTGTGTTTTGACACCATCCATTAGCCTTGGGGAGGATTGTTTTGATAGAGGGAAGAAGACACACAGGCACAGGGACATGTGCTCTCTGGTGAGTGATTATTCTTTTCTCTTTATTTATGAAGTAATCTGGATATGCCTATCTATCAGCATTGCACATAGCTTGAATGTCCCTAAGACAATCAATTTTGGGAGTAAGAATAAGGAAAGTTTCTTCCTCCTCTACCAACTTCTTTGAATTTTTTTTTAAAGGACATCTAGTAACGGGTTAAGGAGTGAGCGAGCTGGTAGGATGCCAATCTCCATTGGGCATCAGAATATCACCAAAGTAAATTAGTAACATAATGCCAGTTAATCAAGTGTTCCCTCGTGGTTCCCTAACATGGTCTTTTTCAGATGTGGTATAAGACCACCTGGAAGAGAAAATGTAAAACCAACCACAAACAAACAAAGTGAAAGCCTTTTTGGAGTCAACCTTTTGCTGCTGAATATTTCTGAGATGTGTGTGCAAGTTGCAGGGAGCAGCTGCGACCACACCACTACCCTGAGCCCAGCCAGCTGACAGTTGCCCAGAGTTGGCAGCCACAGCCAGATGAAATTTGGAAAGCCAAAATGCCTGGGCTTGTGGTTTGTCTGATTGCCGAAATGATAAACACTTTCTCGGGCCTTTCAAGAAGTTGTCTGGTCCATAAAATGGCATACAATAAATTCACTCTTTTAAACATGGAGAGGTACGTTATTTGCTACAACAGCAAAACTTTTGGCCCCAGTGGCCACTAAATAAATATTAAACACAACTTTATTAGTAGTGATTTGAAGGGACTATATGTTATTAATCTTTGTCCGACCCTGTTTGAGGAAACGTATCTTTTTCTCATTTCCATTCACTCCATTTTTGTTTGTTCACACATGTGTGTATGTATGTGTGTGTATGTGTGTGTGTTTGTGTATGTGTGTGTGCCTGTGTGTGTGTGTGCATGTGTAATCCTCACCAGTTTGCAAGACAGTCCTGGAAAAGAAGACTTGACAGGGAGATAGAAGTGTTTTTTGCACCCTCTTCTCCTGCTGTCTGCAATATATAATATAGGATAATTGAAATCAGTTTTTCCACAATTCTTATGAACTTCTCTCACAGAAAAGCCATGGAATTGAACAGCTGCGCTCCAGAATACTGTCAAGCAGGCAGCATGACTGTTTCTTCCCACAGTGGGGTCCCAGCTCATTGACTAATAAGGAAATTCAACTTTTAACACAAGATTTGCCATTTCACTTTTTTACTGCACGCATAGCCATTTGGGGTAAAATTATATGTGAATATTAAAACTTAAATGCTGTGTGACATCAAAGATATCTGTAATGCCCCCAAATATTCGCTCCATTCTTCTCAAAGTTAAGAAAAAAAGGCCAGGAAACTTACTTGTTCATATTATGTGTACCTGGGGAAGTTTTTCATGCAGAGCAACAGAACAAAACTTGAGCTGCCTTGCTTTCTGCTTCCAGGAATGCCAATCAGAGAACATTCTTTTTCAGACAGCCAAGTTTGGAAGTCAGTTGGTTTCTGGCAGTAAGAAGGGGGGAGGGGACGGCAGGAGGAAAAGCACAGTGAGTCCTCAGGCTGAGCTGAAGTTTCCAAGTGTTTCTGTAATAGCCATCAATGAAAGCATCTCCTTTTACCCACACAGAGACAGGTAAAAAGACAGCTGAGTAAATGGGCATTAGATGTAGCAGCAGCGGAAGCTCAGTCAGAGGAAGGAGGCGGGTGGAGGGAGGGCGTTTGAACGCCTGCCATTGGTGAGCTTACCAAAGGCATCTGCCAGTGGGACTTCAATGGAATGTGAAACCAAATCATTTTCAAGTTAAAGATAGACACAGTATACACCAGGATCTAGAAGCTGGATTTTAAACTCCTATCGCTCCCTAGAATTTGAGAGAGTTCTGTTATGATCTCTGTAGTAATTAACAATTTGGCCAAAGTTGGTTTTTCAAGTGACTGTGCTAAGAATTCATGTATGGTCTGGATGTCCTGGAATGAAAAGGATTTGGGAGCTCCTGGTGTACATACTCTAGGGTAAGTGAAAAGATTGGCTTTAAGGCACATCGCTTCTCTGGGAAGGTTAACGTTGAATTTTTCTTTGTATTTGTGTAAATGAAAAAGTGATCATGAAGATTTTCCAGTACTGTAACTTTCTTACCTTTCTTGAGATATTTGGCATTTTACAAGTTATGCAGCAGAAAGAGAGTGTTTCAGCTTAGTTTTGAAATTTACTTTGCATGTCTGTCACTTCAGTTTTGCTTTATTAGCCTTACTTACATTTTCCTCCCTTAATTCCTTAAACACGCTGCCGTTATTGAATTACAATGTCAGTGGTTCTATGTCACTACCCCCACTGAATGTCACTGGGTTTACGATGCCATTGGTTGCAACTGTCTTATTGTGAGGGGAGGGATTTCCTTGCATGGCACAGTGACCCTTCCTAATTTAAAAAATGAAAAGGAAAATAAATAAAAGAAGGGAAAAAGAGGTGGTCTAAAGGTGGGACGAAGTGTATAAGGAGCCTTTTTAAGATAATCTGTTTTTTTAAAAAATGAGAAAAAAAATAGGCAGTTTTCCATTGAAGAGAACAATTTATTAATAGAAGTTATTTTTTGATGTCGCCTCATTAATTCCAAGCAGGTTCTCTTCCTCCAAAACGCTGATATTTGCTAAGTGAATGGAGGCGTTCTGATTATGTGAAGCTTGAGAGTGGAGGAGGGAGAGTTGTCTTATTTGCTATTACCACGCTGTGTTTTAAGGATTTCAAACTTTTTTCTTTAAAAGAAAGAATGACAAACTTCAGTTCTCTTCATGTTTTGACCATGTATAGGTTTTGTTTCTTATTTTGTCGAATGACCTCTCAGCTCTGCTCTTAGAGACAGCTTTCCCAAACTTGCACAGCATTCCTTCTGAGTAAATACTGTCCATAATAGTCACAGAGGACATGGTGTGAATTGGAAATTCTACTTTATATGGGGAAAATAAATCTGCTGACGTTCTTATTACAGCGTGGGGCTGAACAGTTGTTAAATGGAACTGGCTGGGTTTTGCTCTGTCAAATAGACCAGATTCTAATGAACTAAGTCGGCTAAACGAAGTACAAACAATGAATGACTTAACACGGATCTTTCAGTTTTGATAAGAATAAATAATACGCTGCATTATGCTTCTAAAATGAAAAATGAGCATTATACGGAGAGAGTCACTTGATTTTACAACTACCGAGTGATCTAGCAAGACCAAAACCAAATGTGAAGTTGGCAGGGCTCAGTTTTGACGTCCCCACCCTCCTTTCTCTGCCCCCTTTACCTCTCCCCTTCCAGTCCTCCTTATCCTTCCGGACCCCTGAGGAATATCACCGCTCAATACCCTTTTTTTCTTGCAGTCAAGACCTATCTTCCAGAAAGTTGCAGTGAATTTTCACTTCATTTCTCTACAAGCGGATGGTACCTTTGTAAATTTTCCCCAGTGACATTGACTCCTGTTCCCCTTGCTTCACCCAGCTGAGTCCTGATCTGTTGATAGTAGGAGTGAGCCTGGCAGAAATCGTAGGTGTTTCCAAGAAATTTGTGAGTGCAAGCGTGTGTGCGCTCACCATATACATGTGAACACACACAAACACACTTCCAGGTGACTTTTACTCAACTGATATATTTCTGATTGAATTATACATATAAATAAAATTATATCAGGCTTTTCAGTATGGGGTTTTGTTTTTGTTTTCAGTGTGTCACAAGAAAACCAAAAGAGAGCACAAAATTTTAAATTCTAAAATGCAAGAATTTTAAACCATGAGGTCAAATAGTGTTGACAAGGACGAGTATTTCTCTACTGCTGTCGTGTCACTCATAGTTTCTAGTCCCCTGCTGAAATTTGTCAATCTTGGGCTTTATTTCGTTGAATATAGTACATGTAGTTTTATAATATATGTCTGCTAATTCTAATATCTCAAGCATTACTCGATTTGACTGCCAGTTTTACTCATGGTGTCTTATTTTCTTGGTTGCTTAGATATCTTTGACTATCTGTTGGAAATGTATTTTAAAAATCACTTGTAAGAATAAATTGAGACCTAGTGGGGATGATGTTTTCCTCCAGAGGGGACTTTGGTTTGCTTCTGGCAGGCACCTGTGGGCAATATCAGACCAGAATTTTCTTTGTCAAAGTGCAACACCCAAGTTTCCTGAATGACCCCTGTGTAAGAAACAAGGCTGCAAATCTGTGTGAGGAATCATTTTGGGGGGGTTCACTCCTACCCTGAAGGAAGATATGGCCTTTTGAGATTCCCGAGTTAAAGCTGTGTTAGTTTATTCATGCCCTCATCTGAGGACCGTGGGCTTTGACATTCCCACAAAACCCATAAGGCTACCCAAAGTGCAACTGGTTTCACAGATTTTTGTTCCCGATACTTATATGCCCAAAGGCCCAAGCTTTCAAAGATAAGCTGCCTCTCTTGAGTTCTGGTCTTCCAAATTTCTGTGTGTCAAAACCTCACCCTCTTATTAGCTCTTTGCTGTTTCAATATTTTAAATATCTTTAGTTAGTGAGAGTGTCAGTCCAAATTATTTCATTACTGTTACCAGAAAAGCAAATTCACCCTACTACTTGTATAGTCATTTTTTTAATATACTCGTGCTAAAGAAGGTGTTAGGCAGTCTGCTAACATCATTGATGATTTGGGGTACTTTTTCTGATTTTTAGTTTGAGTTGTGGCCTTTTGGAGAAATTTGCAAGTGCATGGAGGATTCATGTTTCCCAACCTTGTTTGAGCTGTCAACAATACTTAACAGTCCTTTTATTTGTCCCTAGCTGACCCCTTTCCTTAGTCATCTCTTCAGTCTCTCTAATCCACCCCACCACCATCACTGACAGCTGTTGACCTTGACTCCTCTCACTTTCTCTTGGCCTTTATCCAAGTATCTCCACATTTTAAAAATTATCTTAAATATATTCCTTCCTTTCCATTCTCCTTGCAACTGCTCTATTTCAGTTCTTCATCATCTCACTTGGGTATTACTATGGTCTCCCAGTTGTTCTGCTGCCTCTAGGGTCTACTCCCCAACACATCTCCCACCCTGGGACCAACACACCTATCTTCTCAAAAACATAGACATGAATGGATTGCCCCTTTACTTAAAAATCCCTAGTAGCTCGCCATTCTCTTCAAAATAAATTCCTTAGTATGTCTTAAAGGCCTTATCACAAAGCTTCAACATATTTGTCTAATACCCTCTCCGCTACTTCACTGGTTATCACCAATACTTTATTTGCACATAATTTCTGCCTCCAGAATATTCCATACACTATTATATCTCTGTGCTAGTCTACCTACCTGCCCCACCCCCACCCCAAATACCCATTGTTCATCTCCTTTGTGGATAAATCCTACTTCTTCAAGGTTGACCTCGTAAGTCACCTTCCCTGAATTTTCTTTACTTACATAGCTCACCCACTATTCTGGGAACCTCTGATGGCAGGGACTGTGTCTTGCTCATTTTTGTATTCTCAGTAACTGACACGTAGAAACCAGTCAATTTAAGTTTAAGGAAATGAACAGACAACTATTATGAGGAAGTTTTTTCACAACAATTCCTTATTCACTTTATTCTTTTTCATTCTAAACATCATTATTCTTTTGAACTTAGACTCTTTTTCTGGAATCCTGATCATTAATTCTCCTCTATGTCAAGTAGAGTCAGTTAAAAATGCATGTGTTTGTTTGGTTATTGCTATTTTGTGGGGAGGAGGCCATCTATTTCCACTTTTGGCAAATGAGACTATATAACATCATTGTGATGAAGAGAGAGATCATAGGAAGTTTAAGTATAAATTACCTGTATGTTGTCAGAGAGATTCACAATAACACGGAAAGTCACAGAGTTGGAAAACTGACATGTTTCAACAAATCTAGCCCACACTGCTGGGTAACACAATGGAAAAAGTCAACCTGACACAACTAGATCAAAATAATCTCACTGCACACAGCCTGAATCTGAACCATCGGAAAACACTGGATTGTTTTTCAGATCACAGTGTGGTGCTAGAAGGAAAGCAGTTGATTGCTTATGTGATATGACATTGTGACCCTAAATTTAAAGGTGGCTGAAAATTTTCGTTTGAAAACTTTAAGGATTTAAATGTTAATCTCATTTTGCTATGCTGAATTTAAACAATAACAACAACACTGCATTTAATTTTTACAAATTGAATATAGCTGGTGGGAACCAGAAAGAGAGGAAATACAGCTTATTAATCTCAGGATGTTTAACTAATTTCATATTCCTCAGATCATTTGTAAATTTGTCACACATTTATTATATGCTTTTGACATGCCAACACCTGAGATTTAGAAAAATAAGAAACTTGGTTGATATTTTTTCTTATACAGGGCTTTCCTACCTCCACAAAGGAAAAAGCCCTAAAATGGATGGAGTCAGAAAATGTTTTACATATAAATAAATAAATAAATAAATAAATAAATAAATAAATAAATATTATTTAAATAAAAATCTTTGAATCTAATCAAATGTTCAAAGTCAGTATCTAGATGAGAACCCAGATTTCTCTATAACAAAATATGAAAATATAATATTTTCTTTTTTGCCTCATCAGTAAAAAAACAAATAAGACTAGCTCTTGAAAATTGGTTGATTTTTAAATCACAGCTTTCAAGTAACTGAGCTAATTTGTTTTATTAATTCAATAAATCTCTATCAAGCTCCTAACTTGTGACTTAACTGTGCTGGATTAAGAAATTATTCATCTAGTCCCCTTCACTGGACACTGACCCTGGAGTATGTCATGTTAAAACAGTGGATGTCATTAACAAATTCCTTTATACTATTTTCTAATTTATATTCTTAATTTATTTGTGCTAATCTCCATACTTGTTAAAAAGTCACTTTGCCTTTCTTCAACAATTAGTATTTTCCTTTCAGAATGCTAAGTTTGAGGAGTCTTGGGGTTATTTTAATTTTTTTTAAATCTATTATTTAGCAGATGTTCTCTTATAGAATCATTTAAAGAGACCTAAA